AAAAATTATTTTTCTTACTGGCCTCTGACTTTCATGGCAGTTTTTAATTTTTTGTTATAGAGATTAAAGGATGAAAGAGGGTTAATTAATGAAAAATTTAATTCTCCGTCGAACTGCCCTTTTTTCATCCCTTAATCTCAATTAGGAAGGGGGAGGGGAATTTTTAATTACCGGGCGAATGGTGAAAAGTCAATGTGCGCCGCGAAAAAATTATTTTTCTTACTGGCCCCTGACTTCCATGGCTGTTTTTATTCTTTTGTTACAGAGATTAAGGGATGAAAGAGGGTTAATTGATAGGGAATTTAATTCCCCGTCGAACTGCCCTTTTTTCATCCCTTAATCTCAATTAGGAGGGGAGAAGTGAATTTTTAATTCGCGGGCGAATGGTGAATAGTCAGTGTGCGCCGCGAAAAAATTATTTTTCTTACTGGCCCCTGACTTTCATGGCGATTTTAATTTTTTTGTTACAAAGATTAAGGGATGAAAGAGGGTTAATTAATGGAGAATGTAATTCTCCGTCGAACTGCCTTTTTTTCATCCCTTAATCTCAATTAGGAGGGGAGAAGTGAATTTTTAATTCGCGGGCGAATGGTGAATAGTCAGTGTGCGCCGCGAAAAAATTATTTTTCTTACTGGCCCCTGACTTCCATGGCTGTTTTTATTCTTTTGTTACAGAGATTAAGGGATGAAAGAGGGTTAATTGATAGGGGATTTAATTCCCCGTCGAACTGCCCTTTTTTCATCCCTTAATCTCAATTAGGAAGGGAGAGGTGAATTTTTAATTACCGGGAGTCACTGTGCGCCGCAAAACAATTATTTTTCTTACTGGCCCCTGACTTTCATGGCGATTTTTATTTTTTTGTTACAAAGATTAAGGGATGAAAGAGGGTTAATTAATGGAGAATTTAATTCTCCGTCGAACTGCCCTTTTTTCATCCCTTAATCTCAATTAGGAGGGGAGAAGTGAATTTTTAATTACCGGGCGAATGGTGAATAGTCAGTGTGCGCCGCGAAAAAATTATTTTTCTTACTGGCCCCTGACTTTCATGGCAGTTTTTAATTTTTTGTTACAAAGATTAAGGGATGAAAGAGGGTTAATTGATGAAAAATTTAATTCTCCGTCGAACTGCCCTTTTTTCATCCCTTAATCTCAATTAGGAAGGGAGAGGTGAATTTTTAATTACCTGGCGAATGGTGAAAAGTCAGTGTCCGCCGCGTAACAATTATTTTTCTTGCTGGCCCCTGACTTCCATGGCTGTTTTTATTCTTTTGTTACAGAGATTAAGGGATGA